AATAGCTAGAGATGGCTCCACTGATACTCATTCAACAGATGTTCACTCTGTATCAAACGTGTGCCAATCTCATCCACAAGGCCAGAGAATAGAAAAGGGGATAGTCCAGGCTCTGTAACACATGGCAGAGATAAAACAGGGTGATACAGGACTAAGATGAAAGATATCAAACTCAAAACCAAGACAGAAGCAAGGAGACTGTATCAGACTGTTTCAGTAATTCAAGGGGAGATGATGGTGGCCTGAAGTAAGATTAGCATGGTAGAGATGGAGAGAAATAGATAGTTTCCAAAAAGCATCACAGGGGAGCACTGGCAGACTCTGATCATTGAACAGATGTAAACAGCAGGAGGAATAGAGGAGGTAAACATGACACAGTCGATTAATTCTAATTCAGGGCCTGGGTGGGGGAGACACCTAGGTGACTTGGGAGATACAAAGAGAAGAAGCCACATTCCTGACTTCTACAAAATTTATAATATATTTAAGGAAATAAGACATAGCCCCCTTTTCCCTTCCCCCCTAATATATTATTTTATTTTTTAAAGGGCCCTATTCGGTTATCAGGAAAGAAAAAGGTAGTGGAAATGCGAAGGGGTGGGGCATCTGGGAAGAAGTTTTGGGAAGCCTCAAGGAAAATCCCACTGAAACCTCCACATAATCATTTTTGTCTTACAGAGAAAGTGGATGAGAAGAACAGCTTGTGTAATTTACTTTTGAGCAAAAGGTACCCCAAAGCCTAGGGGTCCCTAGTTTCATTTCTCTAAAGAGGAAGGGAAGGGGCTTCCCTGGTGGTCCAGTGGTTAAGACTCTGGCACATCCACTGTGCGGGGCACCGGTTTGATCCCTAGTCGGGGAACTAAGATCCCACATGCCATGCTGCGCAGCCAAAAAAATTCATTATGCTGTACACCTTAAACCCATATAGGGCTGTATGTCAATTACATCTCACTAAAATTGGAGAAAAAAAGAATTTGAGAAAGAAACCACAAAACATAAAAAAAAAAAACTGAAGAATGCTAATAATACTGTATAAGTTGGAATCGAATAACATCCATGAAACTTTAGTGTTGTTTACAGTAAGATGGGTTACTTGTTAAACAAGAGAATCCTACACTCAAGTTTAGTCAATCCAGGTTATCCCTGACAGACTGCTTCTCCTCTTGTGGGGTTTTAAAGTGTAAAGCATTTCATAAAGAGAGGAGGTCTATGTTCGTTCTGAATCAAATTGGATTTGTTACTGCTTTAAGCAGTAGAGGGCGATATGATAGCGGTGATGCTATGTAATTTCAAAGGTTAGGTCATAAAAGGCCATTTAGCTGTAACTTATTTGTAAGCATGCTCACTTTAGGATCCCTGAGCCGCCACGCAAGATGTGCAATTACCCTGGGGTTGCCAGGCTCTGAGGAAGCCATATGAAAAGACTCTGTGTAGGCTCTCTGGTCAACAGTCCCAACTGAGCTCAGCATAGAGACATCCCAGCTAGAGTGCCAAACATATGAGTATAAAGTTCTCAAAAATATTCCGACATTCTGTCATTTAAATTACCCAAAGTTTTCAAGTTCTTCTAGGGAGGCCCCAGACATCACAGAGTAATGACAAACCATTCCTGAG